CAGGCCTCTGGAGCGGGGGGCACTTGCTGGGGCTCTCCCGGGGGAGCCAGGCCCCGCTCCCGTGTGGGCATTGCCGGGGTTAGGGACATCCCCCCGCCCAGGGAGCACCCCGGTGTGGGTGCAGAGCTCCCCTACCCCGTGTAGCAGCCCCCAGTACACAAACCTGCCTCCCTGTGTAAGTGCCCCAGGATGGAGGTAAAGTCCTCCCTCTGAATAGGTGGTACCCCGGGGTGGAGACAGCACTTGGGTGTGTGGTGGGTGGTAGCCCCCATACAGAGAGAGAGACAGGTACAGGTGGTACCCCTGTGGAGAGGGAGCACCTCGCTGTATAGGTGACACCCCTTACAGAGATACCCTGTAGGTACTCCCGCTATAAAGACAGCTCCCTATCCCCTGGAAATAACCCCAGTATGGACACATACCCTCCACCCCCAGTTTAGGTGGTTCCCCTCAGCACAGAACCAGATCTTTCCCTTTCCCCTAGGTGCCCCTAGACAGACAGACAGACAGACACGTCCAGCTCCTTCTGTAGATCCTGATCCATGCAGGGCTGTGCCACGGGAGACTCGGGCTGCGATTTGTGCCGCGGGTTCCTACTAATAGTCCCATGTAGATTTTAGGCTTCTCAACCCCGCCGGGGAGGCTCTCCATGATGGCCTTCATCCTCAATGCACTCACCTGGTAAGTCTGCAGCTAGCTGGAGTACCTGAATCTTGTCCTTTTTTACCATTAAACTGTAAAAGAATTCAGTGTGATGTACTGCCTCTCTCCTAACATCTCCCAAAATCCCGGTGCCTTCTAAAGCATATCTGCTGAGGGCAGTTGGGAACTGCTGGCTCTTGGGCTTTCTAGAACCTGGAAAAGTAATTTCACTTCACTGCTTCAGTTTTCCAGCTGGGAGTGAGATTTGCTTTTGTGGAGATTTTACTTAAAGTTAGACTTAATGGATCTCAGCAAACAGTGATCACTGATCTACAAACACTAATGTATTTTGCTCACTGCACAAAAATTACTAGAGGACATAGTCTATTAATTCCTGCCTGTTCTTTGCACTAAAACCTCATTTTCCTGCCATCATGTAATTAAAAAATATCTGTAAGCCTGTAAGTTTTGCTTCAGTGGCCAGGAGAGAGGTCAGAAACAACCTATTCTTAAAATATTTGAAGAAGTTTTAAAACCACTACACAACCAGCACTGACAACTTCTGATAGCTCTTGCTGCACCACCTTTTCCATAGGTCTGGTGGAGTTCATTAATCCCTTGTCTTTACTCTGCAGTGCTCTGGGCTTGCTGTACTTCATCCGGCGAGGGAAGCAGTGCCTGGATTTCACCGTCACCGTTCACTTCTTCCACCTCCTGGGCTGCTGGATCTACAACTCGCGCTTCCCCTCGACGCTGACGTGGTGGCTGGTGCACATAGTGTGCACGGCGCTGATGGCAGCCATCGGGGAGTACCTGTGCATGAGGATAGAGCTCCGGGAGATCCCCCTCAACTCTGCCCCCAAATCCAACGTATAGACTGGCCTGGCAGCAGCACGCTGCGTTAGTCATTGTTCCCAGCACAATGCGTCCAATGCCTCAGAATCATCCCTGAAGAAGCACAGCAGGTCTGTTTAGACTTTATGAATTTTTTTTGGTTTTTTTGGTGGTTTTTTTTTTTTTTGGACCTCGGTGACTGCATGAGTGTGAGCATCTCCTCTGGCATCAGCTGACAACGGGGGAGGAGCAGATGTTTATTTTGTTAACACAAAGAATTAATATGACTGTATGGAGAGTGTACCCTTAACTCTTCACTCATGAGACTGTGAAAAGCCAGGTAGCAAAACTTGGTGCGTGAGGAGCATTTGGAATTTAACGATGTGGGAATACCCTGAATGGGTAACACAGTGGTCAGCTCTTCTTGCCAGAGCTGGCACAGTGAGCAGTGGGGCTGGGAGCTGCTGCTTCCAATCTGTGACTTGTTTGGGCTTTGCTTGGGAAAAGAGTCAAGGAAGTGAATGGATGGGGAGAAAGAAAATAGTTGTACTTACCTGAATCACCAGCTGAGACACTAAATAACCTGTAATGTTAGATGGGTTTGTTTGCTGTTTCCATGTTTGATACATAGAGGTGACAGACAGCAGTTTGCTGAAGAAATCTTTTGTAATAATAAAAATATAATGCTGCTGTGAGTGTTACGGCTCTCCTGGGAAACTGAACACTTCAAGAAGTACCACAAGTGTCTGTATCATGGCAACAGAAGGATGCAGCCAGAGAACACTTGGCTGTGAGGTGCCCCTGTCTGGGACACATGAAATTTCCTACAATAAACATTTCATACCTCTGCTCTGAAAGGAAGGCATCATTGAGTACTGTCTTGGGAAGTCAGCTGGCATTACTCCACTTCAGAGGGAGTATCAGCAGTCCAGGATCTCTACATGTCCAGCCTGAGCCTGGAGCTGCCCTGGGGAAACCTGCAAAAGTGTCCTGGAGCCATGATGTTCTTCCCCTTTGGACTGGCTTTCCAGTCAGGCTTCAGCAGTCCAGCAACAGATCTGGCCTGGTACAGGTGGTGTTAAATAAGAGACTGCTGTTATTTCTCAACTATTCAGAGGCCCTTCAAATAAACTTCACCAAGCAGGGACATCCCTTTATTGCTGAAGGTCCAGAGCTGGGCAGTTCCTCCAGATCCAACAGCCCAAGCAAGCAGCCCCACATCCTGCCTGGTTTCCACTGAGGGACATTGCCATGTTGTGCAATCCCAAACGAGGGCAAAGCCAGGTATAGAAACAGATTTTTCTCCTGTGCAGCATCTTGCTGCAGTAACGTCCCTTTGTATGTTAATATTTATAAGTTTTAATTTGCATAAATTGTTTGCTAATTCAGTTTGTTGAAAAGTGGTGGGATGGTTTGAGACTGATAAAACTCTGAAGCTGCTCTTTTGGCTTTTGGTACTGGGGAGCTGAGCTGTATTTCAATCCCTCTTCTCACATTCAAACATTGTAAATTGGGGCAGGATGACATCCTGCTGCTTTAGATACTCAGCAGGTCTCCAGAGGAGGATTTCTGTCTAAGCAAATGTAACCAGCACCTTTTATATTGGGGGATTTCACCAGGAGTTCTTCCTGACCAAAGCCCCTGTAAGCAGAGTTTCAAACAGCAGCAGCCTTTCAGAGGGAAGAGTTTACACAAGTATTTCTCTGGGCAGGAGCCAGCCTGGAGGGCTGCCCTTGCAGCAAGACTGGCCATCCCTTCTCAGAATCTACTTATTTTTCACATACAAGGATACTTGTCTTTCTCCCAGTCACCTCTGCCTGGATATAAACTGGTCTCCAGTAGGTGCCAGTGTCTCCCTCAGAAAGGAGCGGGGAGTGTGTGTGTGGTTGGGATCAGGGCAGGGAGCAGAGGGCAGTGCTGCCTCGGGGTGACAAGCACTGGCATGCTGTTAGTCATGTTTTAAGACTCCTTCAGGGTCATTTTGTCCTCTGCTGCTTCTTGGTGCTATTCTTGAGAAAGAACATCCCAGTCCTGCAGGGACAGGGAAAGATAGCAGGTTTACTTCAAGGCTTAATACCATACCAAAGTGTGGTGTGAGCTCCTGTGTTCGGGGCTGTTCTTGAGCCAAGTGGGAGCTAAAGATTAATTACAGTGAATTTGAGAGCAAGGAGACAAAGCCACATTTTCCAGCTGCTCCCAGAGTTGCTGTGAGTCTGTATGAACAGAGCTGCCACTTTTGTTCCCCTGCAAGAAAAAAGGTGAAGACTTTGGACTAAGGAACAAGGAACATTTAACCCATTTCTTTTTGAATACACAAAATACGCTGTAACCGCTTCAGCAGCTTCCCTGGGGGGGTGAAATCTGGGGACGGCTTTGTATCTGGAGAAACTCACAGCAAGGCCATGAGAAGAATCCTTGACAAATGGGGCTTTAACACTGAGGCTGCAGGACATCCCAGGAGCTGCAGTACATCAGCATGAAGTGTGCTGTAGGATCAGAAATCTTTCTGAAAGGCTGCTGACTGCCTAGGAGAAATGAATCTGTGTAGTACTTTTCTTTTTCTTTTTTTTTTTTTAAAGGACTTCTACTGTAATTGTCCTAGTCATAGAGGAAGTTCTGCTAAAAATGACATACTGATTGAGGAAACTCATCACTCCCATACTGTGAGACCTAGTTTTCTCTCACATGCTTTCAGTCAGATTTAGAAGCACCTTTGGCTTAAAAAAAAAAAAATCTGCTGCTCCACGCCAGAACAGTGGCAGATGGTCTTTGTTTCTTAATGAATCTTTGGGTTTTTTTTTTTAGTGTGCAATACTTGAGGGATTTGCTTCCAGGGAAGATATGTCCCAAGACCTGCTCTTCTCAGAGACAGTGGCAGTCAGCCATATGCATCCATGGCTTTGGAAAAAGATTACTTGCAGATCTAATACTTTTACCTTCCCTTTCCCCAAAACAGTTTCAACACAGAAAATTTTAAGAGAGGAATTGCCAAATTCAAAGAGAAAGCAAGGGTTGTGGGATTTTAGGAGGATGTGCTTACTTCTTTTCCTAAAGGCATTAAACAGCTGTTCTAAACAAAAAACAGGTACAGCATTTGGAGCCAAAATACTCCAGTCATGGTTGTACATGGCTTTCCCCAGCCACAAGAAGTAACAGGGAAGGGGGTAATAGGATCAAACAGCAAACAGTGCTGTTGGCGTGGAGTAAGAAGAAAAAAATGAAACATCTGAGTGGTTCACTCCAGGTTTTACCATGCTCTGATTTATCCTTTCTCCACTGCTCACCCTAAGGCTTTGTGCCCCAGATGCTGAGTACTGAATACATAAGTAACAACTCCTGCACTGAAGTGCTGTCTGAACACCAGCTGCTCTGTCCTGGCTTATTTCTTGGAATTTGCCTCAATTTCTTCATTATCTCCTGCTGCTGCTGCAGGAACAGAATGTTGAGGGATAGTGAAGGTAAGAGGAAGAACACGTGAATGCCAGAGGAAAGCAGCATGACCCAACACCGCTGTTAGGAAAAAGATCCTTTGCTGTAGAAGCTCGCCTGCTGCCTGGAATGCATCTGGTGGGATGTGTGCAGTTGGCAGGGCCCTGGTTTCCCTGCTCACACTGTGAGCACACACCCCATGGCCCCATGCAGACAGGCAGGACACAGAGATCCAGCAGTATTCTTAAAACACAGACTGCCTTGGGCTAACCAATAATACTGTGTTTCTCCAACATACTCAGAAATCACTTGCAAACCCCTCTCTTTTCCAAATACTTCTATGCTTGAACTGAAGCTGCAAAACTGACAACACTCTGAGCCACAAAGGAGACAAGAGGAGTCTGTGCTGTCGAGCAAGACCCAGGACAAATAACTTCTGCCATGCTGTTGGCTCTACAACAAGCTTTAATACTCTGGAATTACACACTTCTACCCACAGCTGCTTACAGATACCTCAGGGAAAGCTTTAAAGCAGAAGAATTGCTATAAATCCCTTTTGTCCTCCTAGCTTGATACTCCCTCTTCTCCCAAATACTTTTCACCTCTGCCCTTAGGAAAGGGATTTACACATAACACAGAAGTTACTCAGGAATTCAGATGTGTGCAAGAGAAGTCATGCAACTGTGATTATTGTTCAGCAGGGGTTTTACCATGTCCTCAAAGAAAAAAGACCAGTACAGGGCAGTAAGGTCTCCCTTCAGCCACCATCCCCTGCACCTCATGGAGCAGTGGGAAAATACCCATCTTGTTTTGAGTGCCCAAATCAAAACCCCGGAGAGTTGATCTGGTGGAAAGAGTCAGCAAATGAAATGTGTTTCCTTCCAGTTGCCATAGAAGAGTGAAGAAGTGTCCAGCATTTATCCTTTTTCCAGAATTTATCATTTCTCCCCAAATTCTGTGCCCTGTGTTTACAAGTTCCCATATCTCCTGACAGCCAGATCTGTGTCTGTGCCTTGAGGCAGAAGGGGACAGGAATTATTCCAATTACAGAGAAATTTCAACACCCTGGAGATGTTGCCGAGCTCTTCCACGTCTCACAGCCGCAGAATGGAGCCGGGACTTTTTGAGCTCCACACAGTGTATTCCTCAAAGGTTTGGAAAATAGATCTGAAAGATGCCACACCACACACTGCCATCACTTTTGTTGGGATACTCACAGAGCTGCAGTTTATAAGTTCAGCCAAGTGACGATGAGGGGGATGCTGAGGATGGAAATGTTGGGAACGCGGGTCCAGGCAAAGCTTTGGGTCGTGCTGGGGCTGCAGAGGTCGAACAAACTGCCTTGAAATTTGGTTTTTCGGGACTCCCTTCTCAGCATCTCCCAGACGGCTGCTGCTTCCTTCTGGCACTCCCAGAGCACTGTCAGGGCACAGGTGTGGAATTCATCCCAGTACCTGCAGCCAGGGAGACAGCACGCTGTCAGTCCCTGTGCACTCCCACAGTGCTGGATGCCAGGCAGAGCCTTGCTGCCCTGAGCCTGCCCTCTGAGCAGCAACAGCCCTCATGTTTTCTGCAAGTTGCCCAGACTATTCATCCCCTCCATCATCTGCCAGAGCATCTTGGCTAAAACTCCAAATCTCAAAACACTGAAATTATTTATTCCTTCCCCCCCCCCTCACTTTTCTCTGGAAGTCAATAAAATCCATTATTTTCCATCAACAAATGTTTCCCTGAGTATCTCACACAGGCTGCAAACAAAGGCCCAGCACATCTCATTCATCACTTTCTCCAAGCTTTCTCCAAGCAGAGTCAAGGGCAAATGGGAGCACAAAGCATGGAGAAGGACAAGAGCTCCCACAGGCTGTCACAGCTTTTACTGAGATACGGGCAGGGGCAGGAGGAGTCATTCACCGTGTTCTCATTAGAATCATCTCCATTTATCTGCTGGGTATTACTTTCACAAGTAGAATCTGTTCAGTGGAAAGAGGCTTTTGGGGAGTACCAGAGGGAAAAGACGGAACAGGCAAAGATAACCTGTGGTCCTGCAGGAATAAAGCAGGAGCTGCTGTCCTGTCCCACATGGGCTGGGGCAGGGCACTGCAAGCTGGAAGACAGGAGTCTAGAGGACAGGAGCAATTGCTCTGACACCTTCCCTGTGTCTGCCAACACGCTGTGCCACTTGTCAGGGAACGGATGCAGCCCAGCTGGCCGAGAGGGGACACTGCACCCGAAAAGGACAGCACGGTGCTGGCTGCGTGCACTGAGCTGGAGATGACACTTTGTGCAGACAGGCAAACCTGAGCACTCTGCTTACTTAGACCCGGGGCTTACATCAGAACGCCAGCTGTGAGGGAGTTCATTAAACTGAGTCACTGTGGCAGAATAAACGTCCCCAGATAATGAGAAAAGCTGGTGCCAACCCTGACAACCTCCAGCGCTCGCTCCCAATCTGCAGCAGCAGTGGCAGGCAGCTCTGGCAGGTAAGAGTTAAACCTGACCCATGTCTTCAGGCAAGGCTAGCTCGGGGAAGGTGAAGGGGAATGGCAGCTCCAGCCTGGATCTGCTTTCAGCTGGGATGGCAATTCCCAGTGTTTCACCTTCCCAGCCCCCATCTGCTCAGGCAGGCAGGCTGCTGGCAAGTGCCTTTCCTGGCCGGCTCTGGGGCAGTGCTGCACGCCGAGCAGAGACACCACAGCTCCTGGCTCCCTGTCCATCCCTCACCCATCCTCCTGGAGAGGGGACCACGGCACCAGAAATGCAAGCAGCAGTGGATAAGGCTGAGCGTCAAAGGCAAATAATCCAGTAATATTTCCTGGCGGGCAGCTGGGACATCACCAGGGGAGATCCCGGGACCTGTTCTGCAATGGTTGGTGCCTCTGAGCTGTAAGAAAACTCAGCTTGAACATTTCACATGAGCTTCAGCGAAAGAATCACTCCTCCCGTAACCAGCAACAGCATGAGCTGGGCTGACTGCTTGGGTGTTTTCTAACATCAAGAAGCCTCCTTTAAAAAACCCAAAAAAACCCAAAAACAAACCAGAAAGTATTAGTTCTGTCCAAATCAGAGCAGTCCCATTTCAACCCACCCAAAGGCAGGCCCCAGAGAGGCTGTTCATCCTGATTCAGGCTGTCTCCTGGAGAAGGGGAAATACGAGCAGGTCACAGCCTGCAGGGTGGTTTCTAGCAGCTCAAAAAGCGTGACCCCAGGGCACTCAACCCTCCACCTTGCTCTGCCAGGTTTCCACCGCTCCCGGACACGTGGGTTTTCCCTTCATTGCTGTCTGCATTTCCATTTAACTCCCGTTCACTCCCCACAGCTCCTCTGGAGACGCAAAGCTGCCTCCATTTCTCTGCGAACATTTTACATCCTGCTCCCACTGCTTCTGCTCGTCTGCTTTTGAAGTGGATCTTTACCCAAACCTGCCCAACACCACCCCTCATTACCCAGCTCTTCTTCAGTTCTGTTAAAGTTAATATCCTCCCAACATCATCCTCTCAGGGCATTACTACAAACTCGGGCAAACCAGGGCTGGGACAAATCCGAGTCTGCAGGATGAAGGGTCTACACAGAGAGGGAGAAAGCTTGTTTTGGGCAGCACGTGGTGCTGCTGCTGCTCCCGGCAGCGCTGGGCACTGGGGCAGAGCACTGCCTGAAACCTGGGGTCCAGGGGAGATTTTCCTGGGGTGCAGAGCGGGTCGGGTCCCTCCAGCCCCACTCCTGCAGCCATGCAGGGTCTGACGGGACCTGTGCTGGGGGCTGGAGCTGCTGCCAAGGACCAGGGATACAAACTCCGATGGGAGACAGGTAGGAGATGGATGGATGGACAGACAGAGAAAAGCAGCTCACCGGCTGTATCTGGAACCGGAGTGAGGTGTGGAGCACATGTGTGTGTGCAGGCACGATGGGACTCAGCAGAGCAGGAGACTTCAGACAGGGGACTGCCAAAAGCCAGGCTGGCCATGCACAGCACTCACCTGCAGACTCGGCGCAGCCCCTGCAGCTCGGTGCCCTCCTCCTCCTCGTACGTGGCCATGCTGTCCCCCAGCTTGAGGACGCAGTCCGAGAGGCCCCGGTAAGCGTCGGCACAGGCGGGTCCCGCTGCCAGCAGCCCGGCCAGGTGCCCTGCCAGCACCGGGGGGCGAAGTGAGCCCCTGGGGACAGAGCCCACCT